TCTCTACTTGGTATAGTTGCCTTATCTTCCTTGCAGCACTAGCGCTCAGCATAAAATGATATAGGGTAATAATAAAAACCTAACATTTATCTTGCCAGCATTTTCTGTGTGCTAGGTTCTAAGAATGACATGAATTCTGGACTCATAGTTTATCTTCGAGTTGGAGACATAACTAAACAGTCAGATTATAAAAATATTGACTGTGATAAGTAGTATAATGGGTGTCTGTGTAAGGGAATGTTTGAGTAATTTAGGGAGATCAATAAAGACTTCCTAGGGATAGCTCAATTGCACCATTTGTAGGATACAGTGCAAAATGAAAACTTGAAGCTCTTGCCCACAACTGTAAAGATTCCAGGACTGGGGTGGCAGAACACTTTCATAGGTCTGTAGGCTTAGATTATTTTTCAAAACCTACTTTATTTAAGGATCTTAAATGCTTCAACCTCCCTTTTAGCTCACTGACCAGAAGTAGCAGAGAAAGAAGGATAATAGGAAAAGGGGGATGTGGACCTGTTTAGAAGTAGTCCATTGGGGTGATTCCAATATTCATTGTCAGAATATCAGCAGTTCAGTCTAATAGCAAATACCAAACAGGAATCAATCCAGCAGAAACTGCAAGGCTCCACTGAACTGGCAGGAGTCAGCAGAAATGGCAAGAATCAATCTGAATATCATGAGAAATTCTTTGGTGTGTTTCTCAACGAAGTGAAAAATCAGCGAAGACCAGTGAAGACCAGCAAAGCATTGCAAGATGTAGCAGTACAAGAGTGTCCTCTTACTGTCTGTAGGGTTATATTTATAGTCTTTCTAAACATCACGTGCCCTCTGAAGCATCTCCTCCAGCAAAACATCACATGCCCTCTCATGTCTGCTTCAGCAAAACATCCTCTCACAAGACAGCTTCCAGAAAAACATCACATGACACAACTGAGTTTCCTAAGAAACCAGAAATTTCCACTTCATAGGACCTTCCTGATTGCTGGCTCTGTTCAGCTGCACTTGTTATATGTCTATAAACCAAACTCAACCTGAGCAAGTGACATTTGAGCTGAGATGTGATGACACAAGATGACAGAAAAGTCATTCTAAGTAGAGAAAACAAAAAAAAGTTTTGGGGCAGGAGAAATTGTGATGCATTCAGAAACTGGATGAGGGTCACTGTGGATGGAGCGCAGAGTGGGAAGTACTGGGGGTGAGGGGGCGGTGTGTGTGATGGGTAGAGTGTGGTTTTCCTAAGAGCAAGAAGGATCTGGGACATCATGTTGAGGGCTTGGATTTTTATTGCAAAAACTGCATGTAGGCTTAACTTTTTTAAAAAAGTTATTTTATATATATATGAATATACTATTGCTATCTTCAGACACACCAGGAGAGAAAATCCTACGTGTGATTGCTGGGAATTGAACTCAGTACCTCTGGAAGACCAGCCAGTGCTCTTAACTGCTGCTATCTCTACAGTACCTATGGCTAATATTTTTTTTAAACCTATTTTTAATAAATGTTTTAACATCTCTTTTACCCCACCACCCACCAGAAGTAAGGGGAAGAGGTTAATAGAGCAAAGAAAGATGTTGTTTAGAAATATTTCTTTGGAGTAAATCTAATCTGTGTTGTCACGATGTAGTAGTTTAGTTCACATGAATCAGTAGTGGCAACTCAGTCTATTCACAAACACCACCCATGAATCAGCCATGGCAAATTGATCTAGAAGAAACCTTAAGGGTCTTCCAATTGGTTCGAGTCTGCAGAAGCATTAAGAATCTGCTGGAAGACCACCAGAAGTGTTTTGGTGTGTTTTTCTCTGTGAAGTCACAACAAACAATAGCATACCAATACCACTGAGTGTTGTCAACGAAAACCAGCATCAGCAAAGCCCAAGGATGACCAGCAAAGAATGACAAGGCATACCAATACAGTCCCGCATTGTTCACTGTCTATTGAGCTATATTTATATCGATTTTAATCAGTACGAGTTCTCTCAAACATCATTCTATCAAAACACTATATGCCCTTTTTCCAGGTTGTCTCCAGAAAAACACCACGTGTCTGTTCTTAGCAAAACATCCTTTCACATGTCTGCTTTAGCAAAAACATCCTCTCATAAGACAGTTTCCAAAAAGAAGAAAAATATCATATGACATAGCTGAGAGTCTCCAAGGAAACCAGAAATTTCTACTTCAGCCATATGTAACTCTTGGTATGGTTTAGGCATAAGTAACTTGCACGGTAGCAGTATTAGACAACCCTTTTGCCTAACTTCTATTTTTTACTTCCCTCCCTTATTTTTGTTTTTTTGAGACAGTTTCACCAACTCCCTTTTAAGAAACTATTTTAGTTTTGCCTTTTCTAGTTGAGACTGCTTTTCCTCTAAGGATATTTAAAATGGCCTTTTGTATTAGGGAGTCCTTTAGTAGTAGAAGTTGAAAGTACATAGGGGTAAGTGATATGTAATATTATTTATTATTGGAAGTAGTTTTGTGGTCTAAACATTTCCAGTCAACTAAAGGACAGTTAAAAACTTTAAAAACTTTTAAAATGCTACAGGTATTATAAGTCTCTTGTCATCACTATGCTTTAAAAATGTCTACCTCTCTTTATTTGACATAAAACTTGGGCAAATGATTGCGTGGGAATTGACTTGCTTGACACTGGGAGAGAAAAATAGAAAAATTTATCTTTTTGGACAGAATCTTTTGTCAAGTGTTTACAGTAAAAGGCTTTAATTAATGTTATCCGCAGCAAGAAGTAGCCTTTATATTTTGCCATATGTGGGTGGTAATTGTTAATGATTCTTAGATTTACTTGTATCAGTGGTTCTCAATCTTCCTATTGCTGTGACCCTTTAATACAGATCCTCATGTTGTGCTGATCCCCCAACCATATAGTTATTTCGTTGCTGCTTCATAAGTGTAATTTTGCTGTTATAAACCATACGTGTAAATATTTGATATGTGATCCCAATGGAAAAGGTTGCTAGACTCCCCAGGGATTGTGACCCATACTTTGGGAACCATTGACTTAGTTAAAAGCTTATTTCCAAGAATGATACCTCCATGGATCATTTATAGAGCTATCAGCATGTCACCCAACATGGGATTTTCACTTTTGGAGTACTTAAAGAATACCACTAGTGATTTTTTCCCACATCATACTTTAAATATAATTATTTAATCTAAGTCACATAGACTGGGCTCATATTAATGTTTGTATGCTCTGAGATGCTCAGGGGTGAGTTGGATAGCTTGTCATTTTCTGTGTACAGTTTCTTGTCTGTTGATCCATAATACTAGAATTCCCAGCTGTTAAAATGGCTACATAGATCTCATCAATATACTTGCCTTTTAGAAACTGGTATGTTTTATGTGTGAGGAAAATATCAAATATTTCAGTAGAATTTCATTCTGGGAATGTATTTTCAGTAACATATGAGATGAAATACATTTTATACATTTTATATATTCTACCAAGCAAAACATTAACCCCCTCTACCCTAGTTTCCAGCTGTAGGTCTTTCATACCAGAGCTTTTGGTATTTCTGGGCAACTATGCAGTTAGATAGTATGTTGCAAAATTTCTATTGCTTTCATTTAAGTATATACTCTATTGGATTAGATCTGAAGAATCTTTCATAGTGGAGGTGATGAATTAACTCTCTCTCTCTGTGTGTGTGTGTGTGTGTGTGTGTTGGTTGATTTTGAACCCAGTACTTTATATATATTCAAGGTGAGCACTCCACTCCAGAGCTACTGGAATTGAAGCTTGAATTAATGTTCACATTATAGCTCATATTATAAACTAATAGAGTAGCAAGTATAGTATGCGAGACATAATATATTGTGGCTCACACAGGTATAGGACACAGCTACTTCCTTAGTAACTGAGTTTTAAAATAATTATCCTTTGGAAACTTTATAAATATTATTTCTGTGCTTCATTATGAGCAAGGTTAATAGGTTTCTTTTACCTATTACCTCTTAAATGATCCATCCTAAACTGCTTTACATATGTAGATTTCTTTTACAATCAACTATTATGTATTAAAAATGACTTATTGATGTGTCAGAGACTGGCTCAGCATAAACACAGTTAGAAAACTATCAATTAACAATCATAGTTACTGTATTAGGGTTAGTTATTTTGGTGTTTTATGTCCTTTCCAGAGACTAACTTGGTAAATTAGATCCTGATGATTTCATATATTCTGTTGATGGAACTATTGCTTCCTAAGCACAGTTGAGCAGACACTATTTTAAATTGAGTGTTTTTCCTCAGCCCTGGGATATTGTTATTCTCTATATATGGATTCTCTATACATGGAATCTTCTGTAGATCAGAGTAAGGGTCAGGGACAAGCATCATATGAGAATTAAACTGAACTTTACCGACTTTGTTTCACGTTATAATTCTGCTTACTGCTTATTATGCCACTTGGCTGTTAGTTTTGTAGGGTGACAGTCCTGAAGCCAAGGCAGTAGATCCTTTCATAGTCATTGGGATTCGTATGTCTTTAAAATATTAATTAAAAAAAAGAAAGAAAGATGGTAAGCCTCTTAACAGATATGTTTGGTTCTTTCATCTAGTGTGTGACATTTTACTTTTTTGAAAAGCCTATAATAAAATGTTCTGGACATTATTTTAGTATCTTTTTTTGTACTACATAAAATACTAGTATTTTTTTTTATATATGAACAATATTTTGGACATAGCTGTTTTTAAGGAAGCTAACTTTATTTTTTAATTATCTTTTAATTTGGTAAGATAGTTTCCTTTTTTTTTCCTATGAAAAACATTGCCACACAATAAAGAAAACATTAAGAACAGCCTAACCTTTGTATGCAGGTTATCATATAGTCTAAAATAGTATGATTCATTGCTGCAGTTAAGTGTCACCTTAGCAGTAGACTTTAAATGCTTACCAGTATACATATTGATGAGCTTGGCTGATTATTGATATACTTTTGCACCATGTGCCTACTTACATTGCTTTGTTTTTGCAGCTACAGAACCATGGCCTGAAAATGCGACCTTATATCAGCAACTGAGAGGTAGGTTTTTATTCACAATTAAAAATGTTTTTGTATCAGAATACACTTACAACCAACAACAAACTCCCAAATTAAGCCAAGCCAGTTGACCGACCAAGTAAATAAACGAAACTCTGCAGCCACTGAAGGTATTAATATAATTTCCTGCAATGACACTATAAAACACAAAGAAGGGATTCCCTTGTATAATTTGTCTATGAGATTTTGCCTAAACTTGTACCTGCCAGTTAAACCAACTATTCATAGCCCATAGGGTCCTTAGTTTATTACTGACTCATTATATCGGCTGCTGTAGGCACTGTAAAATGATGTGGTCGCAGGAGCGCTTGGCAGATTTACTGCACCAATAGCTGAGACAGCAGATTTTTGAAGTCCTGTGGTAAAGTGGGCTCTCAGTAAAAAGGAACTGTTAAAATGTATAGGCTAGGATGGTTCAGGCTCCCTTTAGCAGCTCTTCATATATCATCAGATCACATTATGGACCCCATTTGGGGCTCAGCAGCCTGCTACAGTTGTCAGAAGGCTGCAAAGTAATGAAGACTAATAGGCAGCAGCCCCCGTCTTCTAAGCATGGAATTTTTATTGCAGTGAACTTGTCATCTTTCTTTTGTGTGACAGACCTAGACACACTGTGCAATATTAACTGTAAGCTGGTTTACATGGTTGGGAATGCTTTTACTTTTAACTAGAAAAATTTGAACTGATACTATTTTACTTCATTTTAATGAAAAGAAAAGATTTTTTAAACTTAAAAAATAAGTGTTTTTTTAAATAAACAATTTTAATTGCTGATAAAATGAGATAAATGATCAAATAAATTTTAGAACAATCTTTATTTACATATGGTAATGTAACTAAAATTATTACATAGCAACATTGATACAAATCTTCATAATTTCATTAGTGTAGAATTTTTTAAAAAATAAAAATAGCTTTAAAATATTATAAATATATTTTGCTTATTTAGAAGTTAAACTTTGGACCTTTCATTATATTTCCACAGGGGAACAAATTTTGCTTTCTGACAATGCAGCATCTCTTGCTGTGCAGGTAAATATGTAAATAATGTAAGTTTGTTCTTTGTGCTAGAGGACTTATATCATTTGGAGTTGCAGTCCACCCCCACTGAGTGTTTGACTTAACCATTATCAGTATAATCTTACTCTTCTGTGCAGTGTAATTTTATATAGTATTTTTAGTTGTCACTATGCAAAATAAACTTCATTATTCGTTCCTTTAAGCAAAATTACTTTTAGCTAGTAGACATGGTCTTTCTTAGTAATTGTTTTACTTTTGGTTAGATATAATAGTATTTGATTTAGGGTGATAATTTCACTTACAGACTTAAAAATTATAAAGAGTTACTCACTACGTATTTTTAATCATCATTCTGCTCACTGCACAATGTTGACCTTAATTCCATCTGTTAGTCTTCAAGCAGTTAGATTCTTTCTAGCTACTCCATATATATTTATTGATTACATGTGCATTTATTATTCCCAGTCCCCTTATTGACTGCAATGGCTTTTCAAGTTGTATATTATAGTTGGATAATCCAAAATATATTTTTAGCAGTGTAAACTTAAAATTAATTATATTCATAGAGAATTGTTTATTTGGAAAAAGTAAATGTTTTTGTAGGTTGTAAAATTACAATTTATTACAAACATTTTACATGTTTAGCTGTTTAGGTACTTAGTTTATGTAGTTTGAATCACAAAGAAGATTTACTGTGCAGTATGTAAAAGGAATCTGTACATCTGTAACGTTTGTTGGAATTAAGACTGCGAGCTGCCGGTGGACAAAGAAAGGGGAGGAGAGAAAGTATTTATCAAGCTTTTGTCACTTTGGAGGCATAATACTAAGCATTTAATTTTAGGCCATCTCATTTATAGTTTTATTTAATTTGATAACCTCTGGGTTTAATACAAGCGTCTAGTATGGCAGTAGATAGTATGGCTTTCAGCTTATCTTTTCTTTAATGTAGAAAAGATAGAAAGAAATGTGCTTAGACAATAATTTATTAGTTGGCAGGTCTATTATACTTCTTTTACATTTGTTTTACATCTTTTACCAAGAGTATAAATTGTATAATTTTTGCCTTTATTTTGTCTTTAAATGTTATTTAACTAATTTTTATTTTTTTATCTTAACATTGATAAACAAATTATCATTTATGTGCAATGTATATATATATATTTATACACATACTTTATACAGCTTTTCTTAATCTTTTTTTTTTAGTGAGATAAATGGAATTTAAGTGTCATATATAAATATATGACATAATATGTATATATACACATACACATATACATATATGTAACTATGTATAAAACATAGTTGTCTGAAATAAAGAATCCACTCAGATATATATTGTATAGATGGTTTGTTAGTGTGGTGAAACAGTCTTTCCTGATAAGCAACAGGGCAAATAAATTATTTGTTGTGTGTAAAATAATATTTTCAATCTTTGTATCTTTCAAAAGACAGCTTCAGGACATAGTGAATATTTTAGATGATACAGTGTTTCTTGACTGCTTTTATCTGTCATTTGGGAGATAGCACTTTAAGGATTTAACAAAGCTAATTAACATCTTTTTCCAGAAAATCTTCCAGTGCATGTAGTGAAAGAAAAATGGTACCCAGGCTATTTTGTATGTGATTTCAGCAGGTTTACTCCTTACTGACGCCATCTATGGGTCCCTTATGAAGAACTCTTAAAATGAAATAATATTATTGTAGGGAGTACTGCAGTAATTAATTTTGAACAAACAGGAAAATACTTTGGGTAGAAATAGCTAGGGAGTGTTTGGCTTCTTGAAGACATGACAGTGGTTAAGCATGTTGGTTTGTCAGAACTGTTGAAGGAATGCCTTTGGGTATCCCTACTGGGTAGACACCAGGGATGCTGCTCACTCTTCCACAGTGTATATAGGTCAGCTTTCAACAATGAGCTCTTCAGCTCCAAGTATAAATGGTGTCAAGTTTGAGCAGCCAAACTCTAGATGGTTTAATCAGTTTCTGTACAAAGCAAAATGTTAGAATATCACTATTTTAAAAATTGATATTCAAGTTTTTCCTGGAAGGGAAGGAAAAAACCTCAATGTGGTGTATATTATTGTTTTTATGTTTCCTATTAATTTGTTTTTTCACCATAGTTTCTCAATCACAGTTGCAACTGAAATAACACCCAAAAAAGTCCTTTTAAAAATAATTGAATTTTGCTTAACCATTTCAATTTTTTATCCTACATATGTCACTTAGATGATAAATTAACCAGCATATATTAAAAATTCTTGGTTTTCCTCAATATTCTTTGGCTTGACAGCTGATAGTAGCCATGACTATAAATGTGACTTTTCCACATATCTGATAGAAACGTTAGGGAGTAATTTTCTTCTATATGGAGAGGAGCAGCATCTGTTCAGAAGAATCAGCTAAAGGCTTCATGTTTGATGTATAAAATTGATCAAAAGAATGTGACAAGTATCCATAAACTGTATATTTTCTAGAAGATACCAAGCATCAAACATTGGACATTTTAATAGTCAGCCAATTATGCCATCAGAAAATTCAAATTTTACTTATCACACTGGGTGGTGTTTTTTATATTCCAGAAGTTAAGTGCTTGGTTAATTTTAATGAAAGATACCTTTATGGCATCAGTTCAAAAGAAAATAATTTTTGTTTTGGTGATCATTTTCCCTGTGATTTGCATTCTTTGTATCATTCATCTACAAGTATAGGCTTGGTCATGATGGAATCTTGATTGCTTACTGTAGTAAATAGTTAGTCTGACATATTTAATGAGCTCAGTGTTTGCATAACATTGTATACACACACATACGTAGTGACATTTCCCGTTTTAAAGTGCTGCTTTGAGAGACTTAGGCTTATGTTGATAAGTAAAACAAACCTGATAGTTCTCTGTTACTATTGTCTCTTACCCCCCAAATTTAAACTAGCTGTACAGTAGATAATACAGTGCTGGCCACTAAGTAATTCAAAATTTTTTAGTGGCCTCATTAAAAATGTAATTAAATTTTATTAATATGTTTTACTTAGCCCAGTATATCAAAATATTATCATGTAATCAATACAGAGTTTACTTTTTTCATATTAAATTCAGAGTCTCATGAGTACAGTTAGAGTTTGTGCTAGTTACAGTTAGTTTGTGCTAGCTATAGTTCATATGCTTAGGAGTAACACATAGCTCTTGCCTCTGGTATTGGACAGTACTAGTTTAAAAATACAATAGAATAAATACATATGAACTCTTTAAGTTTTGGAAAAAAATGGTTTAAAAAAACTTTAAGAAGTGCTGGACATAGTATTGTATTTCTTTAATCCCAGCATTTAGGAGGCAGAGAGACGGTATATCTATGTGTGTTTGAGGACAATCTAATCTATGTAGTGAGTTCTAATACTGCCAGGGTTACATAGAGGGAACCTGTTTCAACAACAGTAATACGAAAAACAAAAACAAAACTCCACAAAACTATATCTATACTGTTTCAGACTATGTTCTCTTTTATACCAAATGCCACACAGCGAAAGGGGCAGTTTATCTCTGTTCCAAGAACAGTGTACGTTAATAACTCTTTGTTTTGCAGGGCCTTGGTTGGTGCCCACCTTTAATCTTAGCACTCTACAGGCAGAGAGGCAGGCAGATCTCTGTGGGTTCTAGACCATCCAGGATAGCTAGGGCTGGTACATGGTGAAACCCTGCCTCAAAAAATCCAAAATTAACATATTCAAAACACTTAGATACTTTGGGTATTATAAATATGTGTTGGATATTGATTATTTCCTTCTATTCTGATTCTTGGCAGAAATACATTTAATCAATTTCAACAAGATGATTAAAAGCTTGTAGGCTTGCTAATACCTAAAACACCACCACTGGGAATAAATATTATTTGTAAAGTTTTTAAGGGGGGCATTTTTATGTCCACATGAACATTAATAATTTTTATAACCACATTAAATATAGGATTTTATTAACTCTTTGAGAATTTTATACATGGATTTTGATTATATTTACCCTCCTAGTCTTTTCCTAACTCCTTCCCAGATTCCTTCCAGACCCACTCCCCATTTTCACCCTCTACCAACTTTGTGTCCTTTTTCTTCTTTTTATTCCCCAGCAAGTCCAATTTCTGTTGCCCATATATTCATGGGTATCAGGCTGTCCACTGGAGCATTCATGACCATGTTTTCATGTTATGGCTAAAATATGTAAATATTTAGTGGGTAAACCTAATGTTATCTAAGAATATTAAGACTTGTTTTAAAATTTAATATTAAATGTTTGTGTATAATTAGTTCTACTGAGATGTTTTATGTAGAGTATTAGGATCAGTCCTTACTACAGCCAAATGAAAGGTACTACCTTTACTCTAGTTTTTAAGTTGTAGGGCCAGAGAAATGTCTCAGTGGTTAAGAGTACTGGCTGCTCTTCTAGAGGACCCAGGTTAAGTTCCTAGCATCCACATGGTCCATTAGTCCAGTTCCAGGTATTACATGGTGCACAGATATGCATGGGAAACACCAATACACATGAAAAAAATAAAAAGAAAATCAAATGTGGCACACTCATACAGTCCCAGCATTTTGGAGACTGAGGCAAAAAGGATCACAAATTCAAGACCAGCTATTGGTTAGAGGAATTTCAGGCCAGCCTAGGCTATATAGTGAGATCCAGTCTTAAAACAACCAGCAATAAAGCCAGAAAACACAAAACAAAAAGTTGTAGAAATCTTTAAAGTTCACGGATGGTTTTTCAGAAACACAGAAGCCAATAATTATGGAGGAAAACAGAAAGCAATGTTATTGGTTAGTTCTGTGTATGGGTGACACTGTGCTGAGCACCTCATTTTTATTAACTTATACGAGGCCAGTACTATGTGAGTTACATGTCAAAACACCCTCTCCCTTAACAGTCCTGTGGGATCTGTACTATAACAAGTCCTGCTTCCTACAGAGAGGTTCAGATGTTGGCCCAATAGTACGTGAACCTTTAATCATGCATTGTTCCTGACATTTCC